TGATCCTTCTCCTGAAATAGCCTGAAAGCCTCTGTAGTCTAAAGCAACTTAAACATGATGCTGTAAGAAGAGATTTAATGAGGGGCGCCTGGGTGGGTCAGTGGGTTAAAGCCTCTGCCTTTGGCTCAGGTCATAATCTCAGGGTTGTGGGATTGAGCCCCGCATCAGGCTCTCTGCTCAGCGGGGTGCCTGCTTCCCCGTCACTCTCTGCCTGCCCCTCTGTCTACTTGTGATCTCTGTCTGTCAAATAAATAAATGAAGTCTTTAAAAAAAGAGAGAGAGAGATTTAATGAACAGAGGAGACAACATCACAAGTCTGACATATGCTCGCTGAACACAAGAAACTCAAAATCGTGCAACACTCAGACAGTCCTTCAAGGTTCTGGAAATTCACCAGCTTCTTCCTTGAGCTCCTGACCTCTGCCCCAGTATGGCAACTTGATATTCTCAGCTGTTTGTTTGGTGTACTCAACAACCAGAAACCTCCTACATGTACTTGATCTTCTGGTGGAAGCCTTTCAGCGGGTTTCTCACCATCTTGCTCACCATGCAGCTGGGGGTGGGTCTTGTGGGGCCATGGGAAAATGTCCACCACCACCAGAAGCAAAAGGAGCCCAAATCCAGTTTCTTTTCTCTGATCTTCTTCCCTGGGAGAGGATGTTCCTTTATGCGATTAAAGAGCAAAAAGTAAAACCAAAGAAACCCACAATACCGAACTTAATTTCAAGTACCACTTCTTTCCCAAGAATGGTTAACTGGTAGCTAACTGGTAGGTACATGATCGCACTCTTGTTACTAATAAACAGTAAAGGCGCCAAGAAACCAAAGCAGCACATGGGAGAAAAGGAAGAAACAAGAGTTTAGGTCATTTGTGAATATGGGTATTCAGTTTTTGAATAATTAAAGATATCCAATCTGTAGAATGTTAGAGAAATCCCTAAACTACATTTATGTTTGAGCATGTCATTACTAATCCAGAACATTAAAATTTTATCATCATAGTTATGGACAGTTCTGCCAAAGAATCTCACTTATTGACTATCAAAATAAGGGAAATGCTGAATTATAGAATACCATTCTTTGAATATTTAATAAATTAATCCTCTGTGCTGATAGTAGGAGTTTAGAAATCATTCCTGTTGTGTGACAACAATTAGTCAATATACTAATTAATAATAATTGAGAGAAGTCAAGGTCTTATAGGTTTACAACACAAATTAGAAGTACAGAGATCATACTTAAGGTTACATTCATTCTAAAAAAGACCATTGATAGTTATGAATACTTAAAGGAAAGGAAAGAATATTGGAGCTTTTGTCAGAGTTGACTCTTTTCAGAGTTCCTGGGTCATTAAACAGGAGCTTATTCATATAAATTTTGGCAGTGGTATCTGGATCTTACTATTTTTCTTTCATATTTTTCACATAACTGAATTGTACCAGATTCTCTTGGGTGCTCAACAACAGATTTTGACTCTGAAATCCTTACCACTTCTCAAAGGAGGAAGAAGAGGAGGAGGGAATAGGGAGAGAGGGAAGGAGGAGAGAGAGAAGGAGAGGGAAGAAGAAGAGAAGGAATGGAGCATGGAAAAGGAAGGGATCAAGGCAGAAAATGTGAGAAAAAGAAAAGAAGAAAGGGGAGGAGGAAAAGATGGAAGTGGAGGCATGGAGGGATTGGGGAAGACCAGAAATCTCAGTCATTTTGACATAGGAGGTGGACTCTAACTTTTTTGTGTAAAACAGTCTCAAGTGAACCCCTAGATGTATATATAGTGGGTGACAGGAGCTCCCTATTCCTAGAGAATTTTAAAAGTACTATGCAATCAATCCTTGATTGGGACCCAAATACTCAATTTTAAAGTTCTAAATATTATAGAATTCAAATACAGGGTTTTTAAAAAATAGATTTAAATGATTCAACATGGAGATAATACAAGTTAATTTTCTTACAGAATTAGATTTTTTTCTCAGCTTAATTGCATGACATTTGGTAGAAGAAAGTTAAATGTTTGGGGGTGATCATTGCTGATAGTGACTTTGGAAGGTCCTGGCAGGTGCTTTCCTGGAATCAAGCAGATGATTGTTAAGACAGGAAGAGAAAGAAGATGCTGAAGAGGTTTGCCCCTGTGGCCATTTACATCTGGCTGGTTTATATCTGTTTTAGGTTTGCTATTCTGGTCAGGTCTTCTTGGCAACTTCTTAAATAATCTGATAAAACTGATGAATATATTAGAGTAGGCTCACAAGATGGGGATTCCCACTTCCTGAGTTGGGTCTGCCTGCACTTCCCTACGGAAAAGTCCTGTTTCAGTCACCTGAACTATAATTTTCTTACCCCAAGGATATTATGGTGAAAAGAGATTAATCTAAATAGAAAACATTGCTTTAATCCCTACACTTCATTGGTTTGATGAAGTTTGAAGAAAACAGGAATAACTCAAGTGTGTTGAGGATCAGTGATTTCACATTTAAAAAGCATAAAGCTTATTAATGGTCTTGAAGAGAAAAGATTCCATATGAATGCAAAACCATCATTATCACTGGTAACATATCCAAATATCTTGACAACATTTTTCTGATTCAGACTGTTAAATTTCATATTAAAATATAATAAAAAGATATTCATTTACAAAACCCTTGTAAACAGACAAAACTTGAAAAACAGAAAGTATACTTAGGAAACTCCACACAAACAAGCGCATTTTAAGGTACTTTTCCCAAGTGATAAGGACAGAGTTAGGATGTAACAATAGCGGTAGTAGTCGAAATTTTATTGAGGGCTAAGCATCTATTAGGCACACCTGCTTTCAATATATTATCTTATGTAATTCTCACAAAACCCTTCTGTTCTCTTCCTATTTCATCAATAAGCAATCAGCAAAGCGAAAATCCCACAGAACGTACTGGTGTATACAAAAGGAATGGAAGGAATCTGAACTTGAGGGTATCAGAGATACCCTCATATATCTCAACAAATATATATATATATCCCAACATATATCTCATATATCCCAACAAATGGATGTTGAAATGTATTTAGTAGACACAGAAGACAATAAAGCTGGTGACGTTGGTATAAAGGGGAAAGAGTATAATAACAAAGCATATACATAGACTAAACTAGGCTTTCAGCTTGGTTTAAGGAACTCTAAAATAATAAGCTACAGTTGTTTTGTTTTCTTAACTTACTGCTACTTCTTTGTGCTGAAATGCTTTTAAATCTCCATAGTACTGTCCGTGTACCTCAGAAAGGGCTTGGCTCTGGGCAGCCTCTGTCTCTGAGTCAAACTGGCTGCAGAAACTTGACATCTTGGTCACAAATATATTATGTTGCCATCACTTTAAGCATAAGTAAAATAAAATTTTAAAAAAACAGATGGTAGTAATGATGATAATATTTTTGGAGTGATGGCAATATGTTTTGCTTTGATTGGGTAGAACTGAGCTTAACGTGGATCTTATTTAGCCTTTTAAAGTTAATTTCTATTTTCTCCTTTCTTCAGGAAGAAAAGGGCTAAAATAGCACTCAGTACTCTACTAGTACTTTGCTGGTGACAATGGACTATTTATCTGGTTTTAAGTAACATGGCTTAACTGTGGCTGTTGGTAAAATACCGGCCTGAGCATACCACTGGCGCCCACACTGGGTACCACAGGCCACAGAGAAGCACTTAGTAGTTGTGTGTAATCAAATTTGTAAAAACTGATGCAGAATAATACTTCATTATTTATAGGAGTGCTATAATAAATCTTTTGCAAACTATAGAATCCGTTTGTAATGTGAAATGTCTCTTGTGTTTTTAAGCTTGAATTTTTGTGTACATGTGATCTTCATAAAGTAAGAATTTATGGAAGCCCAAGTAAATCTAAAGTACCCAATTCATTTGTTCACTCATACTCTGAAATGATGCCATATACTAAGCATCATTCCAGGTCAGAGGGATGGCCATGATGAAGTCCACTAATGCCCTTACCGTGCTCAACTAAGTTGGGGAGAATTCTGATACCTAAATATTCTTCTCTTGGAAAGTCAAAGATAAAATATGCACCTTCCTTCTGGAAGGCAGCTATCCAATCATTTCTTGAAAGCAATGCCATAGGTAATCTTTTTGAAATCTCCTTGTCACATATTAAACAACACAATAATGTGATGAATTTGTGTTGTCATAAAATATCAAATGCGAAAATGAGAACTGGCAGGTCTCTGGGAGCTGAATGCCCTGGAGTCTTAAGCTGTACCTGGAGGTTGGGTCTTTCAGCGTTACAGCCTGAAGGGACCTCAGATTCTTGTGTCCCCCCTGACCCCTCCTCGGTCCCATCATCTACTTTGTTTTTTCAGAGGAAGAAACTCAAAAAGGTTGGGAAATTAGCTGAAACCGGAATCAATGAGGGTTTTTTCATCCCCAGACTTTTTAGCTGATTTGCTGACTGATTCTGCTCCTCCTTATGTATAAATGACACATTTTAGGGTTTGAGGCGTGTTCTCTTGCTCCCTTTTGGTTAAACTTACATGCTTATAAGTAGAAGGTGTGGTGACGACAGATGATGGACGGTAAAAAGAACTTCTGCAAGGACGGCCGGATCCGAACTGCTCTGGGCTCAGGTCCCCTTAGTCCTTAACTCATCCGCCTGTCCCGCTTAAGTCCGCCGGCCACTCTGAGGATTAGGCTGGTGGTAGGGTGAAACTACAGATCCCAGGAGGCGGAGAGGCGTCCCTTTCAACCTCTCCGTAGGTGGGTCGCTCCCCTCATTGCATTCTGGGAAATGTAGTTTCTTTCTTTCTTTCTTTAAGATTTTATTTATTTATTTGACAGACAGAGATCACAAGTAGGCAGAGAGGCAGGCAGAGAGAGAGGAGGAAGCAGGCCCCCCGCTGAGCAGAGAGAGCGATGCGGGACCCTGGGATCATGACCCGACCTGAAGGCAGAGGATTTAACCCACTGAGCCCCCCAGGTACCCCTGTAGTTTCTTTCTAATCAGTGCCTACCGTGTCTTGGAAACCAGAGCTATTAGGTTTAAGGGATCCGCCCCTCCACTGGCCCCGCCCTCTCCATTGACCCCGCCCCAGGTTGCTCAGGAGATGAGAGACGCCGAATCCTGAATTCTGGTAGGTGTTGGCGTGGGGAGAAGAATAGGTGCAGAAAGAAATCCTCTGAGGTCTGAATGTGGCCAGCCTCCATGGAGAGTTCTGGCAGCTCCTGCCAGGACTGGTGCAGCAGTAGGCAATACTGGTTTGAGCTCGGACCCACGGACTTGCTGGAGCGCAAGGGCTCCCTCACCCTCCGCTCCCATCACAAGAAGTACTCGAAACCCGTGTTGGTGTATTCTTGGTGAGCGAGCTCTCTGCAGTTCCTGACTGCTGGGGGAAGGGATGGGTGGGGGAGGAGAGGAAAGGATAGTAACAGAGAGGGCAAGGGTGGAGAGGATAGAATAAACAAGAAGAGAATGAATGAAGAGGGAGAGAAGAGCAGAGAAAGGGAAAAGGAAGAGGCGAGACAGAAAAAGATGAGAAGTGAGAGAACTGGGAGAGGGGACAAGGGAGAAAAAAGAAAGAGAAGAAAGATCTTCATAGGAGAGATAAAGAGGGTGGGAGTGAGTGTTCTGGGCAGCAGGAAGAGATAGGAAAGCCTCCAAGAGCAGCTCCCCAGACACATTGAGACCTGCTGCAGCAGCTCCCAGTCCACCAGAGGTCATACATCACTCTCACAGTCTATGCAGGTGAGGCCTAGAAATCACATTTCTGAAATAACATTACTTACTCTTAAAAGGAAGGGTCCGTTAGGGGACAGCAGGAGGGTGATGAGTTAATTTGTCTAAACCCTCCTTGATCCCATTCATTCATGTAATATGTGTGAACCCTGCAGCATCTGTCTTGCAAACTTTCTACAGCCTACCCACTTTTCCTACAAGCCCCCCCCTCTTAATTCTTATCCCAAAACTGACTCTGCCTATTTTGAACTCAGTGTGAGAGGCTAGATAGATTTGGAATCCAAAGCTCTATTATGAAGTAGAAAATCCCCCCCTTTTAGCCTCATACAGGGGTTCCCTCATAGACCTCAAGCAAAACACTTAGCTCTTCCATGATTATGTTACTCTATAAAAGTATAAAGAAGTATACCCTATATAAAGATGTAGGTCATAATATAAATCACTATTAGAAATTATTGTTAAAGACCTTTTTCAAGTGGACAGTGTTTCTGCTCTCTTTTGTCCTACCATGACTTGTGGGCATCCATAGCAAAACCACAGAAGAACATCCATGAGAAGATGAGGAATTTGGTGGGGGAGAAGTGTGGTCTAACATGGAAAGTCATTATGGTCACTGCGAAAATGTAGAGTGTTCCTATGCTATTAATTTTAGAACATTTGGGAACAGGAAGAAATAAATTCAACATTCATGTGTCATGCACTTTGCTATGTGTTGGAGACACAGAGACAGGTAGAGTGGATTCAATGAGTTAATTTGTCTAAAACATTTAATACTATGCCTGTATATAGTAAGCAGTCAAAAATATATGGTAGCTAATAATAATTTTTTAGGATAATATAATGGTTGAACACTTGGACTGTAGGTTGGAGTATCAACTCTGTAGCATGTGATATGGCGAGTCACATGACTGCTCTAGGCCTCTGTTTCTGCAACTGTAAAATGGAGATGCTAAGACTATTGTAAGATTAAACACGGTATTGTATGTGAAGCACCTTTTAACATGTAGTCTGGCACTTAGCACAGTAAAGGTTATATACATGTATTAGGACATGGTCGTGGACCTCAAGGAATTTCATAGATCTGTAAAGGAGAATGCCATTAAATTCAGAATAATCTGACCTGTGCAAAATAGAGATGAGTATAAGAGGTAAAGGTAACAGGGAGAGGTTTGTGTGTATGCATGGTTTCCTGAGCAGGGTTTAGAAGGAAGAATAGGAGCTCCATAGATACACAAAAGAGAACATTGCACTCACAGGCAAGTGCAGTGGAATAGTAAGAAGCAACCTCATAGGGAAATAGAAATAGTTCTCTATAGTCCACAAGTACAGTTGATCATCATTATTTGCAGATTCTGTATTTGTAAATTTGCCTACCTGGTAAAATATATTTATAATCCCAAATCAATACTCAAGGTACTTTCATGGTCATTTATGAACATGTGTGGAGAGGCAAAGTTTTTTAGCTACTCCCCACCCCCAAGTCCCCTCAACACTACTGGTTGAGATCAAAGTGACACTCTGCCTTTTTGTTTCAGCTCTCATGCTATAAACAAGTAGGGGTTTTTTTCATGGTCTATTTAGCATTTTTCTGCTTTTCATTGGTGATTTCATTATAGAGCCCCCATATTGCTGGAGTGCTATCTAGTGTTGTGTGCAAGGAGGCTGTGATGCGCCTTGTGGAGAAAATATATGTCACATAAGCTTCATTCAGTCACGAGTTACAGTACTGTTGGCTGTGAGTTCAATGTAAATGAATCAGTAGAAGATATTAAATAAGGTATTTTTAAACAGAAGCATACATAAAAGCAGGTTATATATTGATTGGTTGATGAAAATATGAGCAGAGGCTCATAGGAACCTACTTTTCTTTCCCCTAGGAGCAGTGGTTCAGTATCTGCTAATTATTTGTGACAACTTCATAGAATATAACGACTTAAATAATGAGAACTGATCATAAAATATGAGAAATACTTGATTTCTTTGAGCTGGCTGTGCAGTTAGCATCCTTGCTTCCCTTCCATAGCCAAGCAGTCTCCAAAATTTGTCTTTAAAAAAAAAATAAGGGGGCGCCTGTGTGGCTCAGTGGGTTAAGCCGCTGCCTTCGGCTCAGGTCATGATCTCAGGGTCCTGGGATCGAGTCCCGCATCGGGCTCTCTGCTCAGCAAGGAACCTGCTTCCCTCTCTCTCTCTCTCTCTCTGCCTGCCTCTCTGTCTACTTGTGATCTCTCTCTGTCAAATCAATAAATAAAATCTTAAAAAAAAAAAAGACAAAGCTCAAATTATATAAACTTCCAAATGAATAATCTGATCAGCTATTTTGTTTTTAATGCATTCTGGTTGTAATTGTTTGCTTTCTAATGACTTATTATATATTAAAACTCGTATTAAATTTTAATCTTTTATGAGTGATTTTTATTTAATCAATGAATATTTACTATCTATGATATACCTTCCAAGTGACCTCTCAACTGAGTATTTGATCAATTAAATGACTTTACCTCTAGGTTTGCAAAGTAGAATCTGTAACTGGGAAAAATTCTGATTTACCTCTGCTTATATAGTTTAAACATTTGCATGATTTCTGTGTTTCTCTTTAGGTTGCATGTTTAATACAACAGTCTGACTTCACTCCACATATTAAAAACAGTTGTATATAATAGACCTGCTAAAGTGATATGCACAGAATGGTCATGTTAAAAGTGTCTCTGGGGCAGTACTGGAATAAGACATCTGGGCACCGTCTCTTCCTTACAGCTGGAATGATGGATAGCACCAGTATCACCTGTATCACACTGACACTTCTGAATGAGAGAGGCCTTTTCTAGAAGTTATTTTTCTCTAGTCATTCCTGTAGCATTTGTAGAGCTATACCATTAGGTGATTCTATAAGAAATTCTGAGTTGGGGGGAAATCTTCTCTTGGAGTATCTTTCCATTCATTGGAATAATGGAATACTAAGAATAAGAACAAATAGATTTGTCCTTAATAAATTCCCTGATGTGAGGTTACTTCTTATATTTTTATATATGTATTTTAACTCATCTCTTCATTGCCTAAATCGACATCAGGTAATAAGTGATGATAATTTAAAGCCGCAAAATTCATTTGAGTCTCCATGGAGACAGTTCATGCTCTGGTCTCCATGGTGACACCTAGAGTTTTAAGAGCTCAGGTTAATTTTATGTATATTTCAATTACTTTTGTCCCCTGTCTAAGCCCTAATTAAAGAGCCTGGGCATTTTACTCTTCCCTTCCTTACCACCCCTCTCCCCCATAATAAGAAAACAAAAAGAGAAAGGGAAAAAAGGGAAGAAAAATAGAATGCAGTGTTAACTGTGGGGTAGGAAAGTTCGTAGTTTTACAGATTTCTACATAAAATCATTTGGCTTGGGGAAAGAAAGAGCTTTCTATGATGTTTTTCGGACTTACAATCTGTTGTGCTGTCTGAACAGGGGGTTCATGTATATTTAAGGTACTCCATGACCAGAGGAGAACCTGCTTTCAAGCCAACGAGGAATCATTAGTGTACTTACAAAGAAAATAGAGATGCATTTTCTAATATGCTGTATCATTCTTCCTGTATTTAATCAGTGACTTTCTCAGGGACTAACCTGGCAGTATTTGGAGTCCTTCACATGGCTCAGGGCCAAGCTAGGGTGACCCAGACCTTCTCTAGCACACATCCTTCTCCTCACATCTCTAATACACACTCACAAAACAGGATGAAAAGGCAAATCAAAAAGCCCTTTAGTGTATATATACCACAAAGAAATGAAATCTTTCCATTTGCGAAGACGTGGATGGAACTAGAGGGTATGATGCTTAGCAAAATAAGTCAATCGGAGAAAGACAACTATCATATGATCTCCCTGATATGAGGAAGTGGAGATGCAACATGGGGGGTTAAGGGGGTAGGAGAAGAATAAATGAAACTAGATGGGATTGGGAGGGAGACAAACCATAAGTGACTCTTAATCTCACAAAACAAACTGAGGGTTGCTGGGGGGAGGGGCGTTGGGAGAGGGGGGTGGGGTTATGGACATTGGGGAGGGTATGTGCTATGGTGAGTGCTGTGAAGTGTGTAAACCTGGTGATTCACAGACCTGTACCCCTGGGGATAAAAATATATGTTTATAAAATATAAAAAATTAAAAATATAAATAATACAAAATAAAGAATATTAATAAATAATTTTTTTTTTAAAAGCCCTTTAGTAACTATATGGTGCAGCCTGCCTCTTTTTTGAAATCCTTAAATGCTTCCCCTTCCACCAAGCCTCCATCCTCCTACCTTTAACAGCTCAGGCCCTCAACTGAATGCTTATTAACTCCTATTTTATGTACATTTTAAATAAGTTTGCTTATGTGGTTTCCATGCATGCAGCATAGACTTTGGAAAGAAGAGAGAAGAGCCTTTAAAGAGGCTTTTTTTGGTCAAAATGAGAAGTGAGAAGAGCAAGCCTCAGGGCAAGGGGTAAGAACACAGCGGGTGCTCAATTAACATTTATCAAAGAAATGAACAAATGAGCAGATAGAATGAACACACACAGAAACCCAAAAGGCACTGCGTTGGGACCCTCTATTTTATGCTTTAGAAAGGCCCAGAGGTAAAAGTCTATAGA